GGGTTTCATTTTGCGTATGTGAATTGAGTTATAACTTTGCGGTGCGGGTGGCCTTTGTTTTTTTGTGTGCAAAATTTGTACAGTCAAGGGGTTCTCACTGCCAAATCTCACAGTTTTGTCCTGCACGGCTATCTTACGTTACCATACGTCGATGAAGCTTCATGTACGAAGACGGAATAAATTGTCAAAAATTGTATCGTTCGTTGAGCTTGGCAAGGCCAAAATACTTTGAAATACAATCTAGTTCGGTTAGCTTTCTCACCATCTATTTGTCCATCCGGCAACCGAATTTGTAATGCATGTCTGTCTAGTTAAAAAGTAAATGTTTGACGTCCGTTGTTGTGCACTGTGTAACGTGTTCATATGCGAGGGTAGGGATGAAAGTGCATCGTATGTTGGCGAGTGAAAAAGACCCATTCGGCTGTGGCTTAACGAGAACGTCCTAGACCCCAAAAAACAAACAAAACTTCTCAGGCATATGTCTCATTATGGGTAGCAATGTAGTCTTTATCTTTACAAAACATGTACATTTTATCACCTGTGGTTTATCATTATTTTGCTTGGTAAAAGTATGGGCAATGTTTGCCATCTCACTACATGTATGCTGGGGAAAACCGGTCTTAACGCTGGGTATCACCTTGTGTCCGCCTTCTCTTCGAATTTTTAACTCTGTGAGCAAGGTCCGTCGCTGAAAATTTATCGGAAATACAGCTTACTGAATGAATATCACGCATGACATTATTGTAAAGAGGTCATCTTGATTCTCTTTTCATACTTGCCATGCCTTCCGGCTATTATTTTTTTTTATATATTTTGGCCTTGTCATTTTCTTTCGGCTCTAGTTTCTCGTACTGCGTTGTGCATGTTAGTGCCATTTTATTTTATAAGAGCAGCACTGCACGTAGACCACCACCAGTGATGAAAAATTAGACAGGAATTTTGTAATTTGTGCACTGTGGAGTTGTCAAACTTGTTTTTTTATTTGTGATGACGCCTACAGATGTTTTGACGCTGGCCGACGGAAAATATAAATTGCAACGCTCCACCTTAATCCTCCTCCAGCATGACACTTGAAAAGTTTAAGTACTCAAGTGCTCGACTAAGGCGATGTAAAGAGGCTTTGTAAGAATCCCGCAAAAATCAGGCGCCGCGAAAGTGGTGGTTGCATGATTCACAGACGGATCCCGTTCGTTGAAGATATATAAGTTGTTGTGCGGGTTATAGAGCCTTGAAAAGCCTCGTTTTGCGGTATCCAAATTGAGCGACTCTTTGCCCGGATGCCACTAGGAAACATTGTTACGTCCCAGAAAATAGAAACATTGACGCGTTTGTCATGTGCATGCCTGTTGCCTATTGTAAGTCGTTTTCGTTCAGATAATGATGCAATTTTGCATGAAATTGAAATAAGCGAGCAGTCCCTTTAAAGCTATGGATATTAAATCTCTTCAGGTACGCATAACGAAATGTGCGATTGCTTGTGAATCGATCGGCACGTTAAAGCAGTCCGGTTCGTCCCAGGTGCGATAAATGCAACTCTGGGACTGCATACCTGGTCTTGTCCCGAACAATGCCTGTTGATTTTTGACCTGGCCGGTGGTCATAGTCATACCCCATTTTTGATAAACCGAAGCGTAACTAACGTTCGACCGACGCCTAGGGTCGAATGGTGTGACCTTTCTGTAGCCCTGACCTAGCTTGCGACTCTGCATTCACCCCTGTAGCTGGGGTGGTCGGCAGGGATGTGCCTGGTTACTAAGAGGTCTCTCGGGAATCAGCTCCCGGTTCTTGGTTCTAGAACCACGAAGAACCCAGAAGCCAGTTCAGAAGCAAACTGGGGATCGAGCAAAAACCAGGGTTAATAGCCTAACTGCCCGAAGGGAACCGGTGGGAACCAGGATTCAGCTTGATGCTAGGTCAAGAGATCGGCAAGAGCCAAGATTTGGCTTGTAATGGATTCAAGGATCCCACAATGCATCCAGGCCTAGCTTGGAATTATGCTGGAAGGTCCAGCAAAAAACCGATATTTAGTCTGAAATACCCCCCGAAATCCAGCAAGAACCAAGATATAACGTGGAATTATGCCGCGCATCCAGTGAGAACCCAGATACAATACGCAGTCCAGGAAAGCAGCCAGAACAAAGATCCTGCCTAAAATTCTTGTCAGGAATTACTGCTGTCCCCGCGACACAGTGATATGACGCGCGGTGCACGAGTGAATAACACCGGACAAATGCAGGACATCTTTTCATTCAAACGACGCACATGCTAGGGTAGATAGTCGTACATGGGAACAGGAGTTGGTGTTTATGAAAGAGACAATGAGGAACAGAAATCACGGTTTGATGCTCTGTGCGCGATTTAATGGGTACCAGAAACCAGGGTGTGATGTTTGTAAGCAGCCGATGAGAGCCAGGAATCGGGCTCTTGGCTTTGTAAGGGAACCAGTGAGAACCAGAAACCAGGGCCTGATATCTGTGAAAGGACCAGGGGAACGAGGAAACAGTATCTTGTGTTTGTGAAGGAACCATTGAAAAACGGAAGCCTATGTCTTGTGTTTGTTGATGCACCATTGAGAACCAGAAACCAGGGTCATGTTTTTTCAATTCAAATATTAGAATCCAAAAACCATAGGCTGGTGTTTGCGAGAGAGCCAGTCGAAACCTGCCCCCAGGATCTCGTTTTCTTCAAGGGTCATGGCGAACCCGGAACCAAGTCTTGTGATCCAGACAAATTTCAAATGGTCAATAGAGTATGCATGCTGTTTTCCCAGGTGCACGACGGCATCAATCGTCAGCAATATGAACTTTATGTACATTCCCGATAACCTTGACGTCATTTGCCCTCTTGACAGCAATCTTAAATGATCACTGATCGCGCAGACCGACCATCGTTTAGTGATAGATGAATGGATGGATGATGCACACTTGCACTTAAAATCTTGCCCCCAACACGTCGTAGAACTGCATGACGTTTAGCTTTTAACAGCAAATGTATCCACGATTACTACTCACCATTTTGCCTAAAAATGTGGTCAAGCATGCACGCGACCGCGGCCATATGCATTTGCAGCGCATTACTTATACCAAGCCACCATTTCCTTTCCAACATTAAGTGCAGGCACTACGGAGCGATGACTGTTTTTGTTCGGCGTGAACAAAATGCAAACAAATCTTGCCTGGCAGTGGGGAGATCATGGGGAAGCAAGCTCTCTCCGTTCCGACCACCAGCCAGCGACACATCTCAGCAGTCGCTGACGTGCTAGATCACTGGATCGGAGCACTTCGGCAGTGATTGGCGGTGGAACTCCGCCTCTCAACCATCAGCTGCCAGCCTCCGTGATCCATGTCGTGGGTGATTACAGCACAACTTTCACACCAACACATCACATTTTCTGTGGTGGACCTGCGTCCGGTACGGCTGCGTTCCGGCCGCGGTCCAGCTGCGTTCTGACCGCGGTCCGGCCGGTCCAGCCCAGCAGGCGGACTGGTCCAGAGCGACGCTGGGTCAGCCCAGCACAGCACCCCACGGCGCCTCAGTTCGGCACGTGAACGCGGCCAGCGGCTCGGGCCGGCTTAGCCCAGGCTGGACCCGCCGGCGGTCGCGGCCCGTTTGCGGCTATCGTCTCGCCAAAACAAGCTGTTTGTTGACGGGCAATAGGTTCTTTTGGTTGCGCACCCGTTCCACGTTCGCAATGTCAAAATGACCTTGTGTAGCAACTCAATTATCTCGTTTTCTTACAACCCAGTTATAACGCTATTGTCATGCGTGGCGTCAGTAACTTTTCTTGCAATATCCTCAGGCATGTTTTCGAACGCATGGACAGGTATTCGCAGCGTGACGTGCAAAATATTGCAGTGATCTAGAGGCACCTCGCATCATGTTGTTCTATGACTTCGTTCCCGGTCATAAAACCACACGGGTTTCGAAGCACCTTACATTCATGTTGTGGGAGACAGCGGCGACGGACGATACTGGATGTGCGTTTTCATTTGCATGGCTTATCTTTTGCTAGTTTGAACACTGGATATTGCAGGCAAGCCTTGGATATAAATCTGCTATGCGCGGCATAAGTGCAAGACTTTTGAGCTAGTTGATCTCGTAGCCCACAACTTAAGCTGTTCTGATCCCTAACCAATTACACGCTGCACGCATCGCACATTACATCACACTTAGCCGACGCAGGGCTTAATTTTTGGTTCTCGGCTTCAAATTTTTTCTTTTAAATCTGTGTACAGCGCGGCGTCCCTTGATGTGTTGTCCTAGCTGAGCGTTGACCGATAGACACTGCTCTGCGAGCTCGGACCGAGCCCGGTGGACCACACACTGACTGACCCGCTCACCCGTCTTCTGACCGGTGTACACTGCTCTGCGAGCTCGGACCGAGCCCGGTGGACCACACACCGACTGACCCGCTCACCCTTCTTCTGACCGGTGGACACTGCTCTGCGAGCTCGGACCGAGCCCAGTGGACCACACACCGACTGACTCGCTCACCCTTCTCCTGACCGGTGGACACTGCTCTCCGAGCTAGGGTCGAGCCCGGTGGACCACACACCGACTGACCCGCTCACCCTTCTTCTGACCGGTAGACACTGCTCTGCGAGCTCGGACCGAGCCCAGTGGACCACACACCGACTGACTCGCTCAACCTTCTTCTGACCGGTGGACACTGTTCTCCGAGCTAGGGTCGAGTCTGGTGGACCACACACCGACTTACCTACTGACTCCCTTACCCTCCTCACTCACTCTCCTCTTGACCGGTGGCCTGTCGGAGCTCGTTGGTACCTCTGGACATGAACTATGGGGCTCAGAACGTCTGTGGAGCAAACTTGTCTTTCCAGATATTGTAGCAACTTGGCTCTCCCACACGGCCAGACAGCTAGACAGGCGCCCGTTATTAAGACGATGGACTACAGACACTGACCGGGTTTCGTTAGGGGCGCGCCGGATGACCGGGGGTGCGGCCGACGCCGCTGACAGTGTCCGCCCGTGCCCGCCAGGCGGCGACGATGTGCAGCAGCTGTGCGAGGCCGGCGAGGACGAATTCCTCGAGATCATGGCGCTGGTCGGCATGGCGTCCAAGCCGCTGCACGTGCGCCGACTCCAGAAGGCCCTCCAAGAGTGGGTCAGCTCACCGGGTCAGTGCAGCTCTGTGTGAAGCTGTGCATCAGCTGTGTGAAGTCGTGCGTGAGCAGCGTGAAGCTGTGTGAAGTTGTGTGTCAGCTGTGTGAAGTTTTGTGTCAGCCGTGTGAAGTTGCGCGTGAGCCGTGTTAAGTTGTGTGCGAGCTGTGAGAAGCTGTGTGTGAGCCGTATGAAGTTGTGCGTGAGCTGTGTGAAGCTGTGTGAAGTTGTGCGTGAGCTGTGCGGAACTGTGCGTGAGCTGTATGAAGTTGTGCGTGAGCTGTGTCGTGTGAGCTGGGCCTCCTGTCTCAGGGACTGTGTCAGTATGTGTGGAAAGGTTGGAGGCGACCGCAGGGGGGGGGGGGGGGCATGCATGCTGGAGGCACGTAGTTGCCTGATGCAGTATGTAACGGATATTTAACAGCGATTGGTCTGGAAGGACTGTCATCATCGACAAAAGAACGAGACAAACCGCGACTGGTTGTTGCCTTATGTGCTTAATTAAATCGCAAAAGTTAGTGATCGCTAATTATGCTGTAAAGTCTCGAAACCAAACGGTAACAGTCCAGTTCACGGACAGGTCGGTGTCTGGACCGAACCGGCCTACTCCTGGGCCAGACGAACAGTGGAACAGGTGGCACCCACGGCACAGGCGCTATGGGATGCCATCAGCTGACTTCCTCGGAAACGCCCCGGCAATGGATTTTTCTCAGTGTAGGGCTGATGGGCTGGACCAGACAGATGACAGACAGTGATTCTCTGGAATGCACAGCTCCTCGGCTAGGCTGCCACCAGACCAGGCTTCTAACGGCCTTGAGGGACACTGAGAGGAACAGGCACAGCGCCTGAAAACCGCTGATCCTGATAGCCATTGCACCGCGCGCCAGCTTCGTCATCTGACCAGGCACCAAAGCGGCTAGACAGCCGATTTCCAGCCAGGCGGCAGGGAGACCGGGAAGTCGCCTGGGCAGGGCTGTCACAAATCCTGAAGCGGCGACCGCGTCGTTTTTGCACCACATGCGCCATTAACGTCACGGAAGCGCTGTTTTGCCGGCGGTCGTCAGTGTCCTATTAGCTGGCTCGCAGACAGTCTGTGCGTCCCACGATGACCGGCAAATTGCAACTGGTGTCGAACAAAGACGGCCCCTGTAAAAAGATCTTAATTTGCCACTAGCGAGACCAACTGATCCATATTGCACTGCAAGGCTGCCACAGATATTCAAACAAAAAGCTATCCCGGAATCGTGCTGTGCACTACTGTTAGAGCTAGACAAAAGCTCGACAGAACAATGCATGCAAATGTCAAACTTGGGCAAAGCTGTAGACGGTGTTGTCCAGCTCCAGCACTGCAATTAACAATGCAAGCTGCAGCAAATCGAATGTGGTAGTGGCGTAATATTAGTCGTCATTATGCTAGTAGATACCATAGATATAAATGTATATAAATATATACAAATAAACATATATATATATATATATATATATATATATATATATATATATATATATATATATATATGGTGGACCAGCTGCGCTAGACAGTAGCCCCTTGAGTGAAGTTGAATGTGAGTAAGTCTATGTGTGAGAGGAAGTGTGCGCGAGAGTATGAGGCCGTTTAAATACGATTGCTGGTGCAAACATACTTATGCTGCAGCGCCAGTGACCGGTACTGGCCCGATATACATTTTTCGGTCCTCTGCCTGTCCGGGGCGTACGTTTCGGTCATCTGCCTGTCCGGGGCGTACGTGTCGGTCTTCTGCCTGTCCGGTGCGTACTTGCCGGTCCTCTGCCTGTCCGGTGGTACGTGTCGGTCTTCTGCATGTCCGGGACGTACGTGTCGGTCCTCTGCCTGTTGGGGGCGTACGTGTCGGTCCTCTGCCTGTCCGGGACGTACGTGTCGGCCTGTGCCTGTCCGGTGCGTACGTGCCGGTCCTCTGCTTGTCCGGTGCGTACGTGTCGGTCCTCTGCCGGTCCCAGCGCTTATGCATCGGTCTTCTGCCGGTCCGTCGCCTATGTGCCAGTCGGTGTATGTATCAGCGTAAGTGCGTCTGTGTCAGCACGTGATCTGGCCTCCGTTGAAGTCCTGGCCCCAGTGGCCTTGACACGGCTGACCGCCCTGCGCAGGGAAGTTCCACCTGCCGATCCTGCCGGTGCCGGCCGGGGGCTTTCTGGCTGGTCGAGGCCTCGTGGGGCAGCCGACGCCCGTGCCGGTGCCGGCGCCGGCGCCAGTGCCCATCTCGATCGCGCCGGCGTCGCTGCCGGCGCAGCCACCGGCCCGGACGCCGCCGGCGCCGGCAGCGCCGCCTCCGGCCGCCGCCGCCGCCGCCGCTGCCGCAGCCTCCGCCGCCGCGGCCGCCGCCGTCGCCGCCGCCGCGCAGAGCACGCCGCCGGTGGCCGCCAGCCCGACGCCCAGCCTCAGTCGCGATCGCGACAGTCTGCCGTCGCCGTCCCACTCTCAGGTAAGCGGCGGCGCGCCGCGAGCCGCTCGGCGAGCCGTGCTGGCCTCGCTCCAGTGGTCCGGTGGAGTGGTGTTGTCGTGGGGAGCCGGCCAGATTGCGGTCACGTGGTGCGTGATTTGCAAGGCGAGCCGTGATTTGTGTCTGACCTTGAGCCGAATCGGTTGTCCCCAGTCGATGCCAGGCGGGACGGTGTCTGACCTCCGAACGCCGTGACCTTTGCAAGCTGTGACCCGCATGTGACCGTGACCGGAGCGGGTGACCTGCCCGCAGAGCAGCCGTGAATTGTGGCCGCCGCGACCGGGCGTCGGCGAGGAGGGCGGTGAGCCGTACCCGTCGTCAGGCTCGCCGCTCCAGCTGACGCCGACGCTGCGAGAGTCGCAGATCCGCCGACTGGCCGACACGGCCCTGCACATCGCCAAGACGCTGCCCGACTTCGAGCCGCGGCAACAGCACAGCAGCAAGCGCAAAGCCTGCAAGGAGCTGGAGGTGAGGTGGCCGCGAGGTCGAGCTGGAGGTGAGGTGGCCGTGAGGTCGGGCTGGAGGGGAGGTGGCCGCGTGGTCGAGCTGGAGGTGAGGTGTTCGCGAGGTCGAGCTGGAGGTGAGGTGGCCGCGAGTTCGGGGTGGAGGTGAGGTGGTCGCGAGGTCGAGCTGGAGGTGAGGTGGCCGCGAGGTCGAGCTGGAGGTGAGGTGGCCGCGAGGTCGAGCTGGAGGTGAGGTGCTCCGCCGGCCGGAAGACTCCCGGCGTCACACGCCTGCCGGCCGTCCAGCCGGCCGCGGGCCGGCAGACAGCGGGCCGGCGGTGGGACGGCCGCCCCCCCCCCCCCTGCGCGATCATACCGGGTGGAGGTGGGGCGACTGGGCTGCCGGCCGGCCACGCTGCCGTGCAGTTTGAGAGCGGCGGTTACTCGGCCGCGTGCGCCGCTGGCTCCGTCCGGCCCCGGCTCGCACCGCGCCCCTCCGCCGCTTTGTCTCACGCATCCTGTAATCTTGTCATTCTACTCGCTCTGCCGGCCACTTTTTCTACCCTGTTTGTGTCAGTTTTTATTCATTTGCATGCATAACCTCGGTTTTTGTTGCTATCTGGCCAGCCCGGTTTTGTCCGGCTGGTAATATCATTTTTAGCTGCAATGATTAAAGGGTGGTGATGGCAGTAGACGGGGGTTTGTTTGCATTCAAGGACAAACCTCTCACAAAACAGCCGGCAGAACTTCCCGTTGCTTGCGCGGCGAAAGTGGATTTATTGGTGGACTCAGCTTCGGCTGTGGGTCCGGCCCCCGTCTTCTGTGGTGTCCGGGCACAGTCCTGGGAATGGGTGATCAGGCCGCAGGGCGCGATTTTAAAAGTGTTTGAATCATGCACAGTTTTTTGTTGGTTAATCACGAGAAGCCAAACAGTAAAAATGATGTCGTTGCACGCCACGCGGGTACCTTGTTTTTCACTTACAACCATGCAGCCATTTCACACACATCGTGTCGGATGTTGGATGTAGATGTCGGGAAATTCATGACCTGAATAGTCCAAGGCGGAATCGCGGTTGGAGCCAGCAAGTCTCTCTCATGTTACTGCCACTCGCCAACCACTGCTTCTGTGACCACAGTATGAGGCTAACGTTTTTAGGATAGCTTTTGCGCTTAGCATCCATTTCAGATATTACTGTTGTCTCTGTGATTGGACCGATCAGCTCACAGAGCGGAAGATATTTTCATACGTTTGTATTGACAGTCGGTGTGTGTTAGTGGTGCCTTGGTAACGTAACGCTTTTATCCATTTTTATTTACTACCTGGTTATTCGGTGTGTCTGCGTTTGGTGATCGCAATGGAAGATCTTCATTTACACTGCATTGCACATAATGGCACTTCCCTTGTCCCGTAAATGACCTTCCCTTGGGTCAAGATTCGTTTCTCTTGTTGCAGTATGTGCTCGGTATGGATCAAGACGACCCAAAGCGTATGGACAAGATTCGGGAGTACGCCGCTATTTATGGGAGGTTCGACTGCAAGAGAAAAGCAGAGAAGCCGCTAACGCTTCACGAGGTACATCATTTAGCAACCCAACGAAGGAGTCCATCCCAGGCTGCATTTTAAGGCTTCGATGACGATGTGCTATGGGTTGTCCCGCGATATGGAGTGTGTAAGTTATCGCTTTTTCCCCTTTTCAAATCTAGGCAAACATTAGCGTTGGCATTCCGTTGTACCTTGTGCCGTCCGACCTATTTCAGCCGATTGTAGTTAACTTCGAGCGCGATGATTTGGTGTAACATTGCTCCACGCGCTGCTGCGCAGCTGCATCTCACCTGTCAGCACGACAGGTGTGATCACCACTGACTGGGAGCGTTACCTGAGCGTCGCATGTCGGCGGGATGTGTGTAGTCACCGCTTACTGTCGGCGTCACCTGCGTGACAGGTGTCGGTGAACGAGGCGGCGGCCCAGATCTGTCTGCACGTGCCTGCCCTGCTGACGCGCCGCGACGAGCTGTTCCCGCTGGCCCGGCAGGTGGTGAGGAACTCCGGCTACCAGTACTCCAAGGGACACTCCAGGTGAGACGCTCGCGCTACCGCCGCCCTGTGTCCTAACTGGCCGTGTCGTTCCGTGTCACACATCTGATGTTGCTTGCTGAACTGATGCATTGCCCGTGCATTGACATGTAAGGCATCCAGATGACTGGGAGCGGGCGGAACTTTCCCCGGCCCCAGTCGTGTCGGTGTAGTGACGACCGGGGAGGGGAGGTGCGCTGACGACCGGAGAGCACCTGTCCCCGCTGAGGAGTCGGAGGACGGTGCAGCGGTCCCCCCCCCCCCCTCCAGTGAGCCGCTCACCTCCCCGGTCTGCGCCGGACAGGTCTCAAGGCGCCCAGTGCTTCTCTCCCCGCGACCTGCGCATGATGGAGGACATGGGAGGCAGCAAGCGGCTGCGCCTGGACTCGGACTCTCCGCCCGATCCTAACGGGGACACCGCCTGGAGAGGGCGACAGGTACGGGCGCGAGCGTAACACGCGGCCCGCGCACGACGGCAGGTGGCTAGTTAGTTAGTTAGTAGCAGGCAGGCGTACTGACGTCGGCGTTACATATCAATGAATGCGAACGGAGAATAGCTGTCGGGTCCAGTAATAACCTGGACGCTTAGCAACACTTTTGTGATGAAAATACGTCGCGTTCTTCCTGTGGTACTTTAATCAGCACTATGTCTGTAGACGTATCTGGCCCAAATTTGATGACAGAGATGCGTTGGTTGCGTGATTCTTTCACGAAGCGCATCGCACGCTTTGCTGAGCATCTGGGAAGGATATTTTGTCCGACATATTCAGCGATTTGCTGCATATTCTGAGTTAAGCAATGGTACTCGTGCTACAAGCACGAACCCGTTTTGGTACACGCTCCAACGGTCAAGACATCCGTGCAAGCACTCGTTAAATTGCTTCTCGGATCCAGACGCTTTGACTTAAGTCATGGCGCCTGAATCTGAGTGCGCTTTCGTACCGGCAGGAGCGCATGGACCAGATCGCCGACGAGCTGCGGCAGCTGCAGGAGCGGGGGGACGAGCTGCGGCAGCTCCAGGAGCGGGGCGAAGAGGCGCCGGAGCCGGCGGAAGAGGCGCCGGCCGGGCGCCACGACGCGGCCGCGCCCGGGACGCTGCAGCAGCAGATTGACAGCGTCGAGAGTCAGCAGCGCCAGCTCCTGACCGAGCAGGCCGAGCTGGTCCAGGAGAGCAAACAGTGAGTTTATCAGCAGCGCCAGCTCCTGACCGAACAGGTCGTGCTGGTCCACGAGAGCAAACAGTGAGTTTACCAGCAGCGCTAGCTTCTGACCGAGCAGGTCGAGCTGGTCCAGGAGAGCAAACAGTGAGTCTACGCCGTGCACGCCGCCGTCCGCCGGCCGGCGCCGCTGGCGGCCGTGTGGTGACCAGGGGGGGGGGGGGGAGGGCGGGCGAGGATGGTCGAATGCCGACAGGTCGCTGATTGCTGACCAGTTTGTCGCACCGATTTTGTAAAGAAAGAATGAGCGTTTTTCGGTGCCTGATCTGTCCTGCTGTGTCCCATTGCTTGGGCGCATGGACGCACATGGGTCTGAACCACCGGGAAAGATATGTCATGCAAACTTTATATCATCCACACATGCACATTTCATAGCCGACAAACACGCAGTTTGTTGAAAGACCGCAACATAAAATGTAATAAATCACAAATTGCTTACAATTTTAAGTGACGAGTTACATTTTGCTGATAGACATATCTTACTGGGACAAACCTATGAAGCTGAGAGCAAGTTACTTTTCCCAACAACGTTGTAAGCGACTGCACGTTTGTTCTCGAATAGCACAGTTAAAGGTGAACGAGCTTCAGCGGAAGATCTAAATTGGCATGTAATGGTCGGTGCATTATGTACACGCCCAAAACTAATCGCTGTCACGAGACTCCAGGAAACAGAAACAGACGTCGACGTGCCATCTGTGTTTTTTTTTTTAGTTGCCTCTGGCACGTAGCATCGGCGTTTCTGTCGACTAATGGTCAAATGGAATCTTCAGGCTATTTTTCAGCCCAATTCAACCCATTCGGCATGCATGTGTAGGGCGCATTTGTATCAGCTCACACTCTCATCATTCGCGGTGAATATTGATGGCACTTCTCTTCATGATGCATCGTGTGGACATTTGGAATCGGCTGGTAAAATGGACTGAATGCTGCGATCAGTAGCGAAGTCGGCGTCCCGCTATATGCTCTTCCTTGCAAGTACTAGGTGAGGAAAGGAGAAGGCAAAAGCATTCTGCAGATTTCTTATATTCTTATTTCTATTCAGATCATTCCTATGTTGCCCTCTTTGCGCATATTGGACCAATCCATTGCATCCGGTAAATGGCGGTAAGACGCCTTGTGTAGTACCAGATGAACGAGACGTAAACACGCGCAATAGGTTTGAGTTGTCTTCGTGAAAATTGTGGGAATACCGAAGTAAGGGAACCAGACAACCTTGGGAAACCATACGAAGGGGTGTGGTCTGTGCATTAGAAAGCATGTCATTCGTGGTAGTTTAGAATGACAGCTGAAGCAGTACTAACGCTTGCACGCTAACTCACACACGTATCGCTACCCCGATTTCGTAGCCGCGTGTCTGGCTAGGCCTGTGATTGTTGTCCCAAAATCATGAGCTTATGGTGATTTATGTTTTTGGTGACCGCGGTGAGAGCATAGGTAGCGAGGGCCAGTAATCCGTCTACGGCGACAAAGAAGCCAGTCATTCGACACAACGACCAAAGTACCAGTGATCGGTCGACACAGACGGGGAAGCACGTAATTAGTCCCCAGTATCCAAGGACTAGTGACCGGTTGCAAGTGACTCAGGGGTCATTTACCTGTCCCCAGTGACCCAAGGACCAGTGACCGATCCACAGTGACCCAGGAATCAGTTATCAGTTCCCAGTGACCCAATGACCAGTGATTGGTCTCTAGTGACCCTGGGACTAGTAACCGGCTGCCGGTGGCTCAGGGGTCACTGATCCTGGTGACCCAGAGACCAGTGACGGATCCCCAGTGACCCTCGGACCAGTGGACAGTCCTCAGAGACTCACATATCAGTGGCCGGTCCCCGGACCCAGGGACTAGTGACTGGTCTCCAGTGACCCAGAGACCAGTGACCGATCTAAGAGACTTACAGACCAATGGCCGGTCCCAAACCCAGAGACCGATCCCCAGTGATCCAAAGACCAGCGAACGATCCTCAGTGACCCACGGATTGTGACCGGTCATCAGCGACCGGGCGTGGACGCCGGCCGTGCCGCGGTCCCGGCAGTTTTTGCGGCCGTTTTTTGAGGGTTCGCTGCTAAACCGAGTGGCCGTACGTTCCTTTGTCCCTTCATGCTGGCGCCGCGTGCACAGGAAATACGCTAGATAAAACCGGAACAGAGCACTGCACTTTTGCTACTCTTTTTCCACCGTCTGTGCAACCCAGATCGAGGATTTATTTCCTCTATGTGCCGAAAAACTCCAGAAGGGTTGTGTCTGAACTGCAGTTTGCAAGGTACTTGGCATCTGGCTTTCATTATTGTTAAATGTGCCGCTCTGCAGTATGGAAAGGCTCTTTGTTCTATATGGCATCAGTACCTTATTTTAGCTTTCGGATGCTGAACGCTGCAAGGAATATCAAAAACATGACGTAGTCCTTTATTGCCACGTAAGCCGCGTTTTATGGCGGTCTGGCATTGCAAAAAATCATATGCTTAAGCCCCAATCTCCCAGAGCAGGCATCAGCCGGCGGTCTGTAGCCACGGTGTTTATTAAATTTGCCTTCAAGGGCCTTATCTCAATTTTTTTCGTAGAGCAGTTATTGAAAAGCATCGGTCGTATTTTGCGGCCAGGCCCGGCAGTGCGCGTGCAATGCGTCTCAGTAAGAGATCCAGCCAACTCAGTTCCTATCGACGAATAGGTGGTTCTGGTCGCAAGCTGTCTCTTGATCAGCTTAGTGGCCCGCAGGCTGACACCAGCTCTGTCCAGTGTGCGTGCTGCCCCTGCGGCGGTTGCCACCTGCGCGGCCGGCCGGTCGGCGTGGCTGGCGGTCGTCCGCGGGCTGTTCGGGACCGGTTTGACATCGGCGCGGATCCGGGCGGAACAGCCGCGGCATGACACTGCAGCGGGGATGCAGAGCCACTCTGGCCTCCGCCGCCGTCTGCCAGCCGATCACGTGACCGGCCGGGCGGGCAGCCGCGCCTGTCCGCCCTGTCCGCCTGCCCGCCTGCCCGGCCGCTCGTGCGGTCGTGCCTGACAGCGTGCCCGCCCTGCCCGCCGGGCCCGGCAGCTACGTCTGGTTGGCTATTGATCCGACCCGTCGGAGCGGCCCGGCCCGCCGGCACAACGATATCGATCGGTTGCAACCGGTGAAATGGTCTCTGCGGCTCCCCCTGCAGCGGCGCCGCCGCCGCCGCCGCCGCCGCTGCGGCGGAGGGGAGCGCCCGGCCAGACGGCCGGCTGGGGTGGGGCCCGACTATGGTCTGTCTGGGTACCCGCGCCGTCGGGCCGCTCGCGAAGGTCACATGACGGCCGCCGCGCCGGGAGGGCGCCGCAGCCGGGCCCCGACTGGCGACAGGTCGCATGGCAGACGTCCCGCGCATGCACGATGCATTTGGTATTGGACGGTAGGCCCGCGCATTGTATTTTTTCGCGTCAAAGGCAGTCTAAAGCAACGTCCCGCCATGGGACCAATACAGTCGGCTGAAAAATCGCAAGAGCCGTGTAGAAAACCTGTCCTGAAAGGCATATGGAGATCACAGGGAGTTAGTTCTGATCCGCGGAGGCCCAAGCCTTACATTTCTTAAATACATTGCTTCCTCGTTCGGTATGCTTGATGTGGCGGCCAGATGACGCATGCAGCTAGTGCGGTCCTAAGTGGGCCCCCACAAAAATCACCCGACGGACTGAATCCAGATTCACCTAAATAAAAAAAGGTCTTGCAGTTTTAAGCGGTTTAATGCGAACTTTGGCTGGTTTTGAATCTGGAAAAAACAAAAAAACTGTAAATGTCATCAAACTGAGAGGGCATGACAGACATTGGTGGGCAGGGGAAGCTCCAGATAAGTAAAACGTTCGTTGTGAATTTCTGCGAGCTATTTCATAGGTTGTGAAGTGGGTCGTATTCGTTATTCTAGTGATTAGGTAACTGACTGTTCCAGAATTTTAATTATATATATATATATATATATATATATATATATATATTAACAATGTAGTTACTTTGGGCAGTCATGTGGACTCTTTCGCAATTTTCGACAGGAGCTGGAATGCAGTCCCAGCAAAGTCACGACGCCACGCCATTTTTCCTAAGTTCATTTATTCACCATAAGTTTAAAGTTGGCGAAGTCTACATTGCACTACACGATACTTCACCACCTTAGCAGCACAGTTTCATAATGATACCATTGTAAGATGCTCATTCGAGCAGGTGTGCTGCACCAGCTTTTCTCGGCATTCTCTGCCGGTGCCGACTGGTACAGCAGGCGGCCACCGCCGTCGGTCAGCACGTCCGACGACTGTGTGCTGTGCATGGTGCACGTGACGGACCTCGGCACGTCCGGCTAGGGGGCGCGCGGCCCGGCTGCTGCCTGCGCTCGACCCGGCGCGGGGCGACGCCGGCTGCACTGACCACCGTGTACAGCTGGCGTCCGATGCAACGAACGTATTAAGAACTGGTCGTGAATGTGACCGCCGGTCTGTGCTGGCCGCCTGCAGACCACTGACCACTCCGCAGACCACTGATCACTCCACAGACCACTGACCACTCCACAGACCACTGATCACTCCACAGACCACCGATCATTCCACAGACCACTGACCACTCCACAGACCACTGATCAGTCCACAGACCACTGAAGATCACTGATCACGGGCTGCCCGCAGACCACTGATCGGAGCGGCGCACGGGGCCGGCGGCCGACCGGGTGGGCGGGGTCCGACGGTGGCCGCCGAGTCAGCGTCCGGCTGACCCGGCCGGGGTGGGGAGGCTGCCCCGGCACAGGTCGTCTGCCGACGTCACGCCCGGCATGGGGAAATGCCAGATCAAGCCGTCTGGCGCCAGACACCGGCGGAAGCCGAGCTCAAAGCCAGGACCCCAGGGACCCGCTCGGCCGGTAGGCAGATGAGGTCGGGGGCGATCAACGCAGCCCACTAAGGGGGGGGGGGGGGGCGTGTGTGGAACTTAGTATGCCTTTGGAAGCGCCACCGGCTGTTTTCAATTCTTTAATAGTTGCGTTTAGCGTGGGATTGTGGAAGTTGCGTGGAAGGAAACCATCCGAGTCTTGTTAAGCTCCCCATGGGGTTGAGGAAGTGTCTCCGCTGCTGGCACGGCAGCGTCCTGCCCTGGCGTGCTGCAGCACGTACATTGACACCGCAGCACGTGGTGCCGCAACACGTGGGCAGACATATGCCAGTCAGAGGAGCCCGGCAGGGCAAGTTTTAAGAAACTTGTGCGGAAGTTCCTGAAAGTAAAACAACCCTACCCCCTGGTGACCGGGCGGGTGGAGAATGGAGAATCTGGAAGACGTTTCTTCATTTTTTGTGCGTGAAAGTTCTTGGAGAGAAGAACACATTCTGGTGGCCATGTAATTTTAGATACTTGACTTATTCAAACCCTTTGGCAAGCATCACCCAGTTTCCTAATGTCTTTCATTCACGCGTCTCAACATCGTTTCCACTGGGAAGGCACAATTCCACGAAGTTGTGTGGGGGGGGGGGGGGCATTTTGGGTAAGTGGGAAAGCACCTGCCCATCATTTGGCATATTTGAGCGTAGCCAAGGAGCAGTCTGCTCTGTCGCGCTGTCACAATGTTGCGGCGGATCCCGTGTCTTCAGCTGTCACCGACCGGCCGCTGGGTACCGGGTTGTGCGTCGCAGCACGTCACGAGCTCCGCCAGCCCCGGCGCATCAGAAGGCTGGGCGGTAGGCACGCACTACACTCAACACGCCGCAGCCTCAGCGGCAGCACCAGGCTTCTGCGCTGTGAAGCGGAGAGCGCAGCCGGCAGGACGACCATTGTGTGCTGGTCACGTGGCTGGATGCCACAGACTACGGTCACAGCTCTGCTACTTGCTCAACGATTCTATCACCAAATTGTGGGTCATGGAGTTGAGATGAGTTGAGCTGTGCACAGATCATCTGTTGTGCACCGGTTCTGCCGCACCGCTGTCGGAATGCAATGGCTGCACCTGCTCTGACCGTCACTCACAACGTCACGCACAACGTCACGCGTCACGCACAACGTCACGCACAACGCGAATTCTGCTCTGCTCCTATGGTTTATAGCCGCAGAGCGGACGCCCGTCCTGCCCCGGCTCGGTTGGGCTCCCTCCCCAGCACCCGATACGGCCGCCTCGTCGGGCTTTTCGCCGTTTTTCAGACGCATCCCGACTCAGAAATAACCGTGTGTCGAACCCCTGCTAGGGCGAGTAGCCGCTGTCGCCTGCGCGGTGTGTATTGCTGTTGACGTGTCAAATCGCGTGGCTCGTGTTGTTGTTTGCAGCAAATTGGCCACCGCACTGTCAGGGTGTGATCCATTTGCCATGCGTCATTGCCCGTCGGCACGTAGGTGGCAATTACGTCATTCTCCGGCCTGCGGCTCCGCGTGTGATCCACAGTGTTCTCACTCCGGACCCAGTGACGTGTCTGGTGGTGTCGAGGTCACACAGTGCCTGTGTGACCTCTGCTGCAGCCTGCAGCTCCGCGTATGACCCGCAGTGTCCTCACTTCGGACCCAGTGACGTGTCTGGTGGTGTCGAGGTCACACAGATACTGTGTGACCTCTGCTGCAGCCTGCGGCTCCGCGTGTGACCCAGTGCGCGGTCGCTCGCGGGCTCGCCGCCGCCGCCGCCGGCCTCGGGCCCGCCACGCCGCGCCGCCGGCCAGACTCTGCCGGCGGCGCGGCGGTTTTTACGCGCGGCCAGTTTTTGTGAGGAAGGCCTGAACATGCGGTGCACGAAAAACAGCAAAAACGGGTCGGCCGATGCAGGTCGGCGGCCGCCGGCGGTGCTGCCGGTTCTTCTGCGTCGACCGGCCGGCCACCAGTTCTTTTGAGTGCGCGGACACACCGCAAGTTCTTTTGAGCCTCGGTCGTGGCCCGTTCGGCGGAGAGCGCTTTCTCCCCTCCCCGTCGCCCGAGCGATTCCCTTCACCGTCTCGCGGCGCGATCGTACGTGCGAATCATCGGTGCGCGACATGGGAAATCGAGGACTGACCCGTGCATCCCCGTCGGATACGGAAACATTACAAACGCATGCAGTCCTAAGCTGATTCTCGTGTGCGCTTGTTGCAGGTCGTACAAATCGTGCTTGGAGTTCTATGACGAAGACTCGCAGTACTCTTTGAGCAGTGCGGCATCGCCGCCGGTAAGTGAACACCAGGTCACCTGGTGCCAAGTGTCGGTTCAGATCAGATCAGGGCAGGGCAGGGCAGGGCAGGGCAGGGCAGGGCAGGGCAGGGCAGGGCAGGGCAGGGCAGGCCGCTTCAGAAGCCGCACGTTTGGCCAAATCGCGGAAAATCAGAGCTCGGCACAGAGCGCAACACTTCGTCAGCAGCGGAAAATGTGGCAGCAAAAACTGTAGCGGGCAACACCAATCTCTCCTGACAGCTAAACCGGCGACAATGGGAACTGCCTCGCGATCAGCAATTCTCGAAGCAGTGGAACTCAGAGAGCCTTTCAGTTATTGGTGTTGACGTGTGTACAACTGCTGGGCGTTGATGAAGCTCGCATCGAACGAGCGGAACTGTCCTGTTGTTGAGCGTGTCGCGGTTCGTGCCAGAGCGGGATGACGCAGCCCCCTGACCTCGTGATGCCGTGACAGGGCGGTGACAGCTCCCGAGACGGCGATGTGTCGCGGGACAATGCGGACAGACCGGCCGGCCGGCTCGCCAAGAAGGTGGGTGCCGCCGCTCCCGCTGAGTTGCGCCGCCCTCTCTCGCTCTCTTCTGTCGGGTCATTCGCAATCCTCCTGTCTGCGTGGCATTGCCTTAGACCTCTGACTACCTCTTCCCGAACGGCTCCCTGTCTATGCCTTTGCTTACCTGTGTCTGGGTCCGGGATCCTGACCGATATGTGGTGGCTGGTTCATATTTGTTTGGTCGGCTTGTAGACGCTGTCACACGCGGAGAGAACTTCATCTTGAAGGCATTGTTCATTTTCACTACCCCGCGCACATATCAAACGACTCTCAGTTCTTAAGCGGTGTTTGAGCTCAGAATATAGTTCCTTGCGTATACGGTACAACCACAGATAGCGAAAAATGTCTTTCCTCTTTATGTTATATCAGCTTTCCGCCCAGATTCCAGCCAACCTTCACACGCATCGCATGCGTCTATTCGTACCGAGCCCTGCACGCTCTCTGAGACTCGAGCCTGGGCCGCCGCCTTTCGAGGCCCAGTACCGTCACAAAGCCGGCACGGTTACATCCGGGGCAGTGGGTGGTTCAGCCACGGGCTGGGACGAGGTACTGGAGAACTGGCCTCGCGGCATCGGCAGTGCAGATGTCGCCACAGGTGACGGCGGCGAGGATGCTGGCCCGTCACCAGGCCTGGACCACTGCCAGTGGGGAGGGAAATCGGCCTGCTCCGATAGCGCCCTGCACAGCGTGCAGTGCTGTCGCATGCTGCCCCTTGGCCCCGTAGACATAGCTTGGAGGTCTTCACCAGGTGTACCGTGTACGCACCGGAGATACAGGAGGAGTACTGGCATAAAACCAAAAGTTATTCACAAGGGCTTCATGTCCTACCCCCATTTTACTCTTATACATACCCTTCTCGAGACCCTTCCCTACCTGTATTTCGACTTCTGAGGGCTGCAACATGAACGAGATGCGAGCCCCAGGAGCTTGCGAACTTGACCCCATGAGATGGCTTCACTTGCTGCTGGATTGCGAATCAGCTTGCGCGGCGCGCCAAGTCTCAGTGAGGCGACCGCCTGCGCCGCTTCATCCCGCGTCCCACACGGAGCTGATCTTCCTCCCTCTTTCTGTCTCTCCGCCTGTAGCTCGCTCAAGAGACGCTTTTGGACGAGGGCTTGCGGGTAGTTAAGTGTCTGGTGACGCAGCCGGAGTCGGCCTGTCGACCGAGCGGCTCCGTCACGACCGCGTCCGGCGGCGACGCCTTCTTTCCGGAGCATAAGGTACGCGCCCTGCCCGCTGCCTCACCTCGTACACGTTAAACCGCTCACCTCGAATCGCACACCTCACACTGCACGCCTCAGGTCTCACTCGGCACACCTCACAGCTCATACCCCACACAGTGCACAGCACACCGCACATCGTGCATCGCACATCGCACATCGCACACCTCACACCTCACACCTCACGCTGCACACCTCATGTCTCACTCTGCTCGCCTCGCACCTCACACTGCACACCTTATGTCTCACTCCGCTCGCCTCACACCTCACACTGCATACCTCAGGTCTCACTCTGTACAACTCACATCTCACACTGCACACCTCAAGTCTCACTCCGCTCGCCTCAAGCCTCATACCCCACATAGCACACAGCACACCGCACACCGCATCCCTCACCCCTCACCTCTCATGCCGCATACCGCACACCGTACACTGCACCCATCACACCGCATACCGCATGCCCCAAACCTCAAACATTTCCCCTCACTTCTCACTCATACCAACCCCCACCACGCTACGTCTACACGGCCCCCACAAAGTTCAAGCAGTTGCACCAGCTCGTCAATACCGGTGCCCCGCTGTGAAAGCTATTGTTCTGTCGCGATGTTTCTTTGGAGTGCGTCTAATTTGCGTGTGTATGCCCCACAAAAACCCGCGTCGTGGTGCCCCGACGACAGTTGGTGTTGGGCTGCCTCCTGGCTTCTCTCGTCACCGCGCGCGCCGGGCCAGCTGTTCTGGCGCCGACCTGACGCGGGGTTTGTCTGCTGGAGGAGGGACCGCCCTCCTGGGACCGATGATCCCCGACGTTCCCTGGTCTGTCAGGGAGGCCTGCTGTGCCTGCGTGCCCGAGTTTACACACATGCCGTGCCCGAGTTTACACACATGCCTGCCCCAGACCCGAGAGCACCGCCGCATATTCCGGGCCAACTCCCAGGCTGGTCAGGGCATGCCCCGCTCGGGGCAGCCTTCGGCTCTGGATCCCTGTGACGTGTCTGTCCCTTCCTTTAGATATGTTTTGTTCGGCCGGGGTCACAGCCGAGGTCTTCTACATCCTCTTGGCATTTGGCTCAGACGATTGTATAGCTCGCAAACTGTGGCTGTCCGCTTCTCAAAAACTGCCCGCTAACCGCTCGCAAACCGCTTTCACACGCACATTGCGCCTCTAATGACTGTGTAGCTGTCCAAGTCACGTTCAATCTCAATTGCTTAAGCTATGTGTGTCATGCATTTAGTGCTCCTATGATCGCCCCTTTTGATCCGGTAACATTTGGTTGAGGGCTGGAACGATTCTGTTGCGTCACGTCTTCAACCGGCATCCTGTGCTGAAGAGCGCGGCCACTGACTCGGGATGAGTGTGTGACCGGACCGCTGTCGGTCTGTGCTGCCGCCGGCCGCGCAGCAGGCCTGCTCGCGATGTCGGCTGGCGGCTCCCACTGCCGCCGGTCGGTGACGGCTCCCTCCGCTGCCAGGTGATCGCCTCGGCCGCCGGCACCATCATCGCCGTGGCCAACCCGGCGCTCTCCATGTCGCAGCTGGCGCAGCCCATCGGCCTGGTCACCAAGCTGAAGTCGGAGCCGTGCCACCGGGTCAAGGTCGAACCGCCCGGCTCGCCGCCCACCAGCAACGGCCGCCGGCCAGCCGACTGAGCCGCCGTCTGGCGAGCCGACGCCAGCGCCGCCCCGCGGACCACGGCCGAAGCCCGGCAATGTGATAGTCTCCAGAGGAGCTCGAAGAGCGCCGACGCGGTCGACAATGGAGGCACCGGATGCCGACGGGTCCAACCTGACCCGGTTGGGCTTTTCAACCTCTTTGTATGGCATTTTGCACGGCTATTAGAACCCCGCAGGGGCATATTTTTCCGATTTGACTAGACTTGTTGGCCCGGAGAGTGTGCTTGGCCTGGCCCTAAATGTGAGGTGCTGCGTGGACACCGCTCAGCGGTCGACGCCCCGAGTGTGAAGCCCTTCGAAAGGGATGAAAGCATCCATGTATAGAGCTTAGAGACCTGCCTATCTGATAGGCACAGAATGTGATCTCGGAGATGATGTTCAGCGGTCTGCCGTGGCGCGGCACGCGCGCGCGCCACCTGTCGGCCGGCGTCTGCGGCCCGTTCTACGGCAGCCACACCGTTCGGCGGTGCGCGGTGCCCGGCTGATCGGCTGAGAGCCGAGCATTCGGCGACGCCCGCCCCTCCGCACCGCTCGACCGCCCTAGGTCCGCACTGGTCGACGGCCCTAGGTCGACGACCCCAGGTGCGGCCTCCTCCGCCCCAGCGCTCTGATGCAGGCTGTGGGCGCCGCCCCGACGGTGCCCCGGCCTCGGACGCAGCCCACCGACCCTAGGTCACGGCCAGATCTGTGTCACGCGGTCAGCCACAGATCATGACCGGTCTCGGCGAGACCCACTGACCCCAGGTCAGCTGAAGGCGCCGGGATCACGCCAATCCTGCTGTACCTGACGGTGCAGTGGTCAGGGCCCGCCGTGTGGTCTTGCAGACTGACCCTAGGTCAGCCCAAGCCCTTGCATCTGATACAACGGAGTCAACGCAAAACTCAACAGAAGTTTCGCGCTCTTAGTTCGTGTTTTCGTTTGGGCTTTTGTTTGCAGTGGACGCTAGCAATGACCAATCTAAAAGCGGACTGGCCATCCGCGAACAGATATAGAGACTACCTTGGCCTCGAAGCGTCTCCCCCCGTTTGGGCTGATCTCTTCTCTGCGATTTTGGGCCCGCTTTGCGTTCAAAGGCTGCCTAAACCGGGATTTGAACGGCTGGGCCGCGTGTGTCCCACCGACCCACCGGTGCATCCCGCTTCCCTGTCCAGAAATTCGTGATCTTTTTTCGCTGGTGGCCATACTCAGCAGCGTTTCGTCTGTAGCACCAGCGGTCGACGTGGCCAGCAATGCGTCTTCCCAGCCCGCCAGCGCGTCATTTCGAGTGCAGAGGCCTTTCGAACGCAATTCTCGCCATTCCCTGCAGAGCCCTGACACGGCTTAGAAGTTGAGGCCCGGTCTCGGCCTCCGCTGGAACGCCCTGGACGCAGCAGCAGCCAGCTGGCCCCAGGCTGCCGTGGTGGGCCGCCGCGCTGGTCCGTCGTGCTGGGCAGCCGCGCTGGTCAACCGTGCTGAGCCGTCCGCCCACGGCCCGCCGCGCAGCGCCGTGTCAATATCAGTGTTTAAATCAAAACCGTCATCGTACATCTGCATCGGTAGATAGCTGTAGTGTTCGTTGTGTGTGTGTCGGGCCGGGCCGGCCCGGCGGGAGCGGCCTGCGCCCTCGTGCTCGCCTGTCGGCCGGCGCGGCGCCGGACCCCCAGTCGGAGCGGCGCGCCCGTCCAGGCCCGCGCCGGTGCTGCCCCCTGTGCTACGACGGCCGGAGCCCGAGCTGTCGCTTCTCGAATCTCCCTGCACCGCATAAACGGCCTGATCGGGAGTCTGTCCCGGCAGGCGGTGACAGCCAGTGCTTACGGTCGTCGTCACGACTTCAAAATGGGCTTTGCCTTTTTATTGTTACGAGCGGAGCACCGGCCTCGCAGCTGACAGCACATATTCTAAATGTAACGGGACCACTCTCAACTATCACTTGTGCCGTTTGTGCTCGGTGTGTGCTGCAGCTGTTGCCGACGTCATCCACGGTCGTAAGTGTTGCCCCCAGTCAGCACGGCGCGGGCCTCACCACAGGCCTCACCGGAGCCCGGCGCGCGCCGCCGGTCGACCCGGCGCGGCCGTGTGTCCCTGTATCATGCACAGTATTTATTTGCATTCCATTCCAATGTGCGTTCGTGCTTTGTGTGCCAACCTCGGAGCGGTGGCGCCCCGCGTGCCCCGGGCTGCTGGCTGCCGCGCCGCCTTCCATCGTACCCGCCTGTACTCGGCATATGCCACGATCTGACAATAGAAGCCGCTGGCGCGAGAGAGGCTGTCTGTGCGTGTAGAGCGGACGTCGCGCGCAACGACGCAGAGCGATCACAAGTCTCGGATAACCACGCTCCGTGTGCCGCCGCGGAAATCCCACACACCACTCCTAGGACGTGCGTTGTCTCATCATCGGTAAAACGTCGGAATCATGCTGCATTTCAGTGGATACGTGTGCAACTAAAAGTGGGAAACGTTTTACATTCAAGCATACCATCTGGTGTGATCCCCTGCCCTCCGCCTGCCCGGAACGGCGAGTAGGTCACATACGCTATTGTCTAGGAGAGGAATGTGACGTGAAATGGCACAATGCGTCTGTGTGATAGCACCTTAGTCCCACCCACCCTGATCATTGTTATGTTGTCCACTGGGGGACGGCGAATCAATCCATTGAGGGCAGGGGGAAACAGCAGCCGCGATCTTTCATTGAATTTCTTGCATGGCACACCGTAGGGCTAAGGCAATCTGGTCCTCGATGTCGTGAACTTCCCTTTGCCGTCCCGCCAGCATCAAACGATTACTAAATTATATATTATAAATTAATCATAATTATATTTATAAATTATTAATTATAGTTTATACTATTATGTGTTATGTTATAAACTGTATTTTATTATATTAAAATATTATTATATTTGTATTATAAGCGATATATTCTACAAAACTATCAATGAATTATATTATTATAGATGATAACACTAGACAACATCAAACGATTTTGCAGTGGCAGCTTATAGCTCGATACCATTCCAACCGAAAGCATTAGGTCACAGTCTCCAAGTTTGTATTTGTTTATTGTGGTATATTCTTGTTTACTGTATTCAGTATTTGTGCCGAACCGTATCATGACCATCACTCTGTGTGCAGGCGGGCCGTTACTGCTACGCTGTCAAGGGGTGATATGAACAAAAAAGGTCATCGCATTATTACGAGAAGACAAACATGGAAGTCATAATGCGGCGAAAGGCCACTACAATGAAAGGTTCAATCGACGTATATTCCGGAGTGATGCCTTAAAACCTGCATAAAATGGGGAGCTGAATAGCAAAAACGCCTTTTGCAAGAGAATGTTCCTACCATTCGGAAACACGGACAAGAGACGTGAGTGCAGCAATGAGCCACGGTGGTCCCTCGCATGCACTAATCCCATCCAATATTAGGGGTATGGTTGTTCTCTAACAAATAACACACCACATGAATTTGTAAATGTTAAGCTAACAATGCCCAAACTTTGAAATGCATTCGATTTATTGCCTATGGCAGGAATAGCTGACCATGAGACAAGTGAAGCAAGCTTCCCTGGACAGAATTGTGCTCGACTTGAGCTGAATGATGAATCGACTCACGAATCAGTCGTTTTGGGATGAGTCGTGAGCTGAACTGATTCACTAGAAAAATGCCGCCAAGAGTCATGAGCTAAATCCCATTCTTCGTAAATTTCATGAGTTGAATCATGAGTCAGTCATTTCGAACAATGTTGTGTCAGTGAGTTGTATGGCTCAAATGGAAATGGTAACATGAGGAAACACAGCACACCCCATGCAAATCAATAGGCCATTTCAGGGTGTTGAGAAAACACGCAGCACTAGCTATAAAGCTTTTTGCCAAATCAGCACAAATTTTGTTATTGCAATTTATACGGAGCAAACACAATATTATTCATCCTGGACTGAACCACAAGTCTCATCTAGGAACCAGAGGATATTGCATGGTAAAGACATCCTACATTCCCATATCCTAACATAAAATCGGTGAAAGATTGTCTGCTGAGGTGAAATATGCTAGCCTTACGGCTGAGACTTGAGGGAGCTGGTTGGTGGCAGGTAACAGAAAAGGCATTGTCTGCTGCGCTGCATTTGGTAGGCTCAAGCTACGTGCACCTTCTGGTTTCATACTTCTACAAGAGCGAAAATTTACCTCACCTCATGTCGATGCCCTCGCCTGTTTCGAAAATCTGAAGTAAACAAACTGTAGGCATCTTCATGTTCTACAACTATAGGATGCTTGAGCAAATGCAAATCACGCGCACAAAAGTTATGCATGGTCAAAGTTTTCAGAAGCTAACCTCTTTTGACCAGACCTAAGTCACTGACCTTGGCGGACCAAAACTTCAAATTTTCACAAAGGATGTCAAATTAATAGGCAAAGAGATTGTGAGAATTTGGAATCGCTGCAAGCGTTTGTGCTTCAACTATGCTGGAAAAAGGCTGAAGGCGAAGCCAGCTTCCTGGCCTCATCCGAGGGTAGGCTAGCCCATCATCTCATTCTTGCAATACGTCTTTCACATATCCATTTCGCATCAATGCGTCATCCAAATAGCACGAAAGGATCTTGATCGCGCCGCGCGACTACACAACTGTCGACTACCCTGCAACCGAGCTGACATTATCAAGCCAACGGCTAAATATCCCTCGTTGGCGAACCATTTATGAACAATTATTCCGGAAGGCGAGCCTACCACTACGCGTTCCGCCACATCATGAATGTGGTCAGCATAATATCAGCGTTCCACCGAAGCTGGGCTTCCGCCATGATTGGTATCTCTTCACGGTAATATGCGTTATGTTTACAACCAACGGGCTCCTGGACAAGCGGTGTCTGTAAATTGCCTCTTTGGCAACTATTTTTGTCAAAAAATATAACACCAGCGGCATAAAACGCAGTTACGCTTAGTTTAACTCGGATCAATACTTGACGCCTTTGATTGAAAAAATGCTGTAATTTTTTATAGACTTCCGCTTTTGGGACAATATAAGGATGAAGCTGCGCCTCGTCTGAAATCGTGTGACCAATGTGCTTTCGGAATGACCCCAGACTTTCAAGCTTCAAAGGATTTCAGGCCTCAGGTGCATCAGTGCGTGCAGTAAATACTGATAGTATTCGACAATGTGCAATCTTACGCATTTAAATAAAACCCATTTTGTTGACAAGTCATTTATCACTTTGTTATGCTGATGAAGACCTAGTCCACATGAAATCAAAATGGCTTGTATAATATGACATACATCAATTCAACGAACATTTACGCACACCTCCGGCAGCGCAACAACAATTTGATAATAAGCATGCATGTGGCGGTCTTATCAATAGCACATGCAATTTCTACAGTATTTTTCCAACATATCTCATATATATATATATATACATATATATATATATATATATATATATATATATATATCATATATATCTCATAACAGTTTCTCGATTTCATAAATATGCCCCTCCGTCAATACGTCAGCGTTGCGCTGCGTTTCCGTACCCTGTACATCATGGATTTAGAGCCAATTCAGGCAACTTTATCAGGAAATGGCACTCACGAACACCGGATATGAACGACTCGGCGCTTATATTCTTATTGGCCTAAATCTCTGCATGGCCAGTGCAACGACCGGAACTGAATGACGCTGTTTTGGAGCCATGGATGCCCAGGTGATGCTGAAATGGTCTGCACGAAGTAGTATGCACATCTGCGGGGGCGCGTAGCTCAGGGACAGGGGTGGTAAAACCTGCCGACTTGATGGATGAGGCCGGCGACAAAAATGCATATATTTACGCGAAGCTTGGTGCCAAAAATGTTTTTAGACAGCAAATTTTGGTGGCGGCGAAGACGAAAAAATACAGCACACTATGCAAAACATGACGTGAGGTCCCCAGACATAGATGTTATGCCCCTATGGTAATAAATTCTGTCATGCAATGCAAACAGACGTTTCTGTTGAAACGTTTTACCTTTCTCCACGACACCCTGGTATATATTTTAGGTGTCATTCCAACCCGGCGACAAGATATGCTATGATTTATAGTTGGTCGGCCGACTCGGTGACAGGTTGACGACAAATCAGTGTATTTCCAATGGCCCGGCCGGTTGGTCGATTCGCTGTTTTTAACAGCCGACTCTATGTGTCTCAAACTAGACAGTATAAAGTGTTGAAAAAGATCTAGATATGGGGGTCCATCTGGCCGCAAGAGCGTGTTTCAATTGTTGCGGTGCGACTGGCACGAAGTGGGCGGTGACTTTCAATGTAGTCTAACTCTGCAAGTGACCTTCGCATTGCAGTGTGATGAATACCTGCCTGAGGTTGAATTTCTGGCCTTGTTTACTTCGTTGACTGTGCCGTGATTTATCATCCTGTCCTCAGCGACGAGAGGCATTGACAGCTCAGGGTAAGTCGGCGGGATGATCCGATCTAGGCAGAAACTGACCTGCGACTATCCAAACCGCTGTTTCGAGACACCGAAATGGCTGTTCACTCACTGAAGAAGTCACAAGTCTCCAGCCTTGTTCTCTTTTAAAGAGCCGTGGATTTGATGTCGAAGCCTAATGGCACTAATTGTGAAGGAGAATAACAGGTGACAATAGTTCTGAAATACCAATTTATGTCATTTTTGTGCTTGTCGCGAATGAGAATGGTTGCCAGCCACGTAGATCTTTAACTTAGGGGTGTTCCTTCTTTTTATTCAGTTCAGGGCTCCAGCCCTCCCCCCCCCCCCAAGTGTGAAGAAGCGCGCTAATCTGGGAGACATCCATATTTTGCAAGTGCATTGCATATAGTACCTTACATTTTCACTGTTCCCTAATCTATTGTCAAAAACTATTCCCTTGCTTGAAATGCAGTTATTTCATCGATGCTTTGATATATTTTAAGCGATTATTAACGGTTTAACCTTTTGTTAACATGAGTCTTGGTTGCTGGAAATCTATACGATACCCAATAATGTAGGCCATGAGAAGGTGATGAAAGTGAGGAGTGGAGTGGTGCAGGAAATCTAGGCAATGAGGAGGGTGTGCAGGTTTCATTGCTGTTTCCCCCTCATCAAGAGTTTTACTTTAAACGGCGTGATCTTCTTGGTATTGTGGTGCAACTGTCCTATGAGGTCAGTGAAAGGTTGTCATTTAGTTGTCCCTGGGGGCAATGTTGGCCATATCCTGATGATAGCACCC